AGATCTGCAAATGGGTTGGCTGATGCTTTAGCTAAGCAAGGGGTTAACAGGAATCAATTGTATTGGGTTACATTCTAGTTTGTATGACGATGCTGCGGCAGGGKAGTAAATGCTACCTACACAATGGTTCTTCGTAATGCTTTGTAATACTTCTGTTGTATATTAATAAAATGTTTCAGTAACTAATCAAAAAGGGGAATAACACAAGGAACAACTAGTCAACCACAAAGTTATTTTAAAGCTTTATTTGTTTCTTTGTATTTCTAATTATCTGAAATAATATAGAACACATATGAATGATGGTATGTAAGACAGAAAAGAAATAAAACAAAAGAAGGTAGTAGAGGAGTCCTTTTAAAATTTCTTCCAATCAATGCTCTTCTGGTATAGAGTTGTCACAAACAAAGGGAACATCAAATAGTTAAGGTTGCACTCTTTCTTTGGAGAATGAAGGCAACAATTCCTATCCTAGCCTATCTAGCCCAAGTTTGAATATTTGCAAAATGAAGGCCATGTTTGGGAGTGCTAAAGATAAGTGCTTATTTGGGCTGGGACCACACCACTAAGCACTTATGGGTGTCTGGGAAATAAGCCTTAAAAAATAAGGGCTTATTTTTTAAGCCCAAAATTTCAGCTTTTTTAAGTGCTTATACAATAAGCACTTATTCAAATTTTTCTTCCAAAATTATCCCTAGTTGAATTTTAAAATACCACTTATAAAACTACCCCTAGTTGAATTTTATAAAAGTACTTTTGTAAAAGCGCTTTCAAAAGTGTACTTTTATAAAAGTTCTGTAAAAGTGCTTTTCTAAATGTATTTCCTTAAAAGTGCTTTTATAAAAGTACTTGCATAAAAGTCCTTTTGTAAAAGTGATTTTATAAAAGTACTTTTATAAAAGTGCCTTCATAAAATGCCTTTATAAAAGTGAATTCATAAAAGTAGTTTTGTAAAAGTGCTTTTACAAAAGTGTTTTTGTAAAATTTGAAAGAAAATGAAGGACAAAATAGTCATAGATGCTTATTTAAGTGCTTATTGGAGAAAAAGACTACCATATGTCCAATATGAAATAAGTGCTTATTTTAAAAAATAAGCACTTGAAAAAGTTGGGTGCCAAATGCAAATTAAGTGCTTATTCGAATAAGCACATGTTTTTAAGAACTTATTTTTAACATAAGCACTCCCAAACATGGCCGAAGACTGCAAACTATATATTCAATTAGACCTGTTCATGGGCCGGGTGGCCCGATGGGCCGGCCCGGCCCAGCTCCCGGACGAGCTTGAACACGCAAATGAGCCTGCGGGCTTAACCCCGGCCAAAAAGCCTGGCCCGCAATATATTCGAGCCGGGCTCGGGATTTGCCAAAATAGCCCGGCCCGAGCTTGGCCCAGCCCGACCTATAGACTAAACTTAAAAAACCCTAACTCCCTAAGCCGAACCTCTCTTCTCTTCAATCTTCACATCCTTCTCAGTCCTCACACTCTCAGGTAGCCACACAACCGGTGGTGAGTCCTCTCTCTCTCTCTCTCTTTCTCTTTCTCTCTCTTTCTCTCTCTCTCTCGTTTTTCTTCTCACTTCTCTTTCAAATCTCAGACACCGGCGAGGCGACGAATATAGGCACCGGCCGCGGTGGTGAGTTCTCTTTTTTTCTCTCTCTCTCTCTTTCTCAGATGCGAACTGACACACTTTTCACTATTAAAATCGCAGCTCACAGTCACCGCGAACTCAGCTCCGGCGAACACAGTCATGTCGGGCTTTGGGCTCGGGCTCGGGCTTCGGGCTTTTTATTAGGGCTGGGCTCGGGCCTAACAAATTTCTATTCATGAAGAGTAAAAGCCCGGCCTGGCCCGGCCCATGAACAGGTCTATATTCAATATCATTCTTTTATTGCATGGTTGTAGTTTTATTAACCTGTTTATGAAATTGCATCAATTCCTTAGTTTAGAACATATCTCTTTCAATTGACTAATCAGGACCTCACATTGACAAAAAGGCCAGAATGACTAGTCATCAAACTCATCACATCACTATATAGATAACAGTGGTTGCAACTTGCAACTATCAATGATGAGTCTAGGTCCTTGTCTATTTCCATGTCTACACCTGTGACATACAATCTCTCGTCTCAAGAGATCTTGTTGCTGCCAAGTGGAGTTTGAGAACTGAGACAAGTATTTGAGTCAAATAGAAAGCATTGTGGAAGCTTCTTTAGGCATTGGTTCTACTTTTGCATATTCTCACTTAGGTACACACCACTGCAAATCATGCTTACTATTCAAGTTATCAGGTCTCTAGTTGGATTATAAATATAGACTTTGGGGCTTTTGACAGCATGACCGATGTCTCACCTTTATTGCAGTCTTCTAAGCTCTATTCTGGAAAAGACAAGGTATTGATTACTGATGGCCCCTGACACCCATCTCTGGGAAGAGAAACATTACTGTGTCTGATAGTTTAAACCTTTCTTCTTTATACATGTTTCCAAACTTATATTGTTTGTGAGAAATCTTACTGAATGTTTAAATTGTTAAACACCTCTTTTCCTTGATCAATTTGTGCCCAAGATTTGGAGATGATTGGGATTTGGGAATAGCCATTGAGGCGAATGATGTCTGCCTTCTTGACACTTGCCAATGAGGACATAGTTTGACATTTGGGATTATTGTGTCCAAGTCTATGGATCAATTAATGCTATTGTCATACTCAGTTGGGTCATTGCCTTTTTCTTTCTTGGGTTTATTGTTTCTTTCATTTAAGTCATAGGATTCTTAAAAGCAGCAGAAAGAGGCTATAAAGTCCTCAATTCAACTTCTATAAGATAATACTATAAAATATGAAATAATGATGAATGTGACTTGAAAGATGAATGAATTTTGCACCGCACTCTTGCTTTTTTGAATGCAAAAGAACCACTTACATTATGATAGCCACCAGCATAGTTAGTATGGCAGCGCAGGTCTTCAACATCCAATCCCTCCAGTGAGCCTGATATCAAAATCTGGGAAAACACTTATTGTCAAACAAGGAATAGGGATTGCATATATAATAATGTTTTGCCAATTTAAAAGTAACTTGTAGTTTAAATACTGTGATCTACGTATTCATGCATGTAAACATAAATTTCATGTTTTTTGATGGGTAACTTGTAAGCTTTATTAACAATCAATACAAAGAAAACAGTCCCTTATGTTAGATTAGTTTCTACCACCTAACCCTTTTGCATACTTTTTACGAAACCATTAAGTGGTTGTCTCCCAAAACGGTTCTTCCCTGGCCCGGCTTTCCCCATTCTTCACTGAGCAGTTGACAAAGCTATTCACTGATCTATGCACCCATCTGAAATTGTTAATCAGTTCCCTTGCCAAGTATTTTTGCTTCTCTCGATGTATGTCAATGTTGCCATGTTTCCTGCAGTCCTGCTACCTGTTATTTCTAGCCCAATCCATCGTTGTCTTGCTGTCCCCTTCCACTATGAAGTTTCTTCAGTTTAGAGGTTCCCCATCTTTAACCTCTGCAGCTTGGCTTTGAAAAAACCCCTGCAGCACAGCTAGCAGTTCAGTCATGGTATTATCACCATTGCCCAAATGGAGCTCCTAGAATTGAGTCATAACTGTCATTAAACACACCTCCTATGCCTGACATTAGTGGGTTACCCATGCTACAACCATCAAAATTGAGTTTTATTTGGTTCTGAGCAGGTGGGGTCCAATTGAAGGTAGTATTGTGTCTTGAACTGGAAGAGTTGGCTACAATCTGCCACCTGCACAGAATATCCTCCTTTTGAAAAGGAATGAAGATTTCAGCAATCTTGATCCAATTGACCACTCTTATAGAGATCTCAATAATTGCCTCCTTAGTTTGCTTCTCCTCCAAGTAGGCCAAAGGATGGCTGCCCTAGTGCACCTCTATATGATTTTCCTCTTCTCCTAGGTGGATAAAAAAATAATGCTTAAAAAGGTTTTCCAAATTTTCTAGTGGGGACTACTTGCAACCAAAGAGAGCGAAAAACCAGCCCAGATGGAATTAGTAAAAGGGCAGGAGATTAGTAGGTGAAGCGTAGTTTCCCCACTTGCATCGCAAAGGAAGAATCTATGAGTTGACAGGCATCAGTTAGGTCTCTGATTTGGTAAAGTCTCACAATTGTTGATCTTCATATGGTAGCTTCCCAATCCCAGAAAAAAGCCCTTATTTTGGGTGCGAACCAGTCCGTTTCAAATGGACTTGACTGGGATCACTAGAAAATGCTTTCCTATTTTACCAATGGTGAACTAAGTATAAATTTCTACAAAAGGATGTACAAGGGATGAAGATTGAGATCAGTTCTAGATGGGCCCCAATTTGATAAATTGTCAAAAGAACAAAAAGATGAAAAAAACAGAGAGGATGGTGGGGCAAGAGGGGGAAAGATGGTGCAATAGGTGGAAGGGGAGGCTGAAGTTAAAAGATAAGGCAGGGATAAATGATGTGATGGTGAAATGAAGATTATAAGTTGGAATGTTAGAGGACTGGGGAGGGTAGAGAAGAGAAGACTCATAAAGGAAGTGTTAAGAAGAGAAAAGCCAGATGCGGTGATGCTCCAAGAGTCTAATGCACAAGAGGTTGATAGAAGGTGGGTAAGGTGTCTGGGGAGGCAGAGATATTGGATGGGCCATGGACCCGTCGTGTGGAGCTTCAGGAGGAATAGCCACTATGTGGAATGAGAATACGATGGAATGTGTGGAGGAATTAATAGGTAGGTTCTCAGTGTCAATAAAGCTGCAGAATCTGTATGATAATTTTAATTGGGTGTTGACCAATGTTTATGGGCCTAATTCGTATAGGGAAAGAAATGAGATGTGGGAAGAACTGGCAGATGTGAGAGGTTTGTGGCAAGGCCCACGGTGCTTGGGGGGGATTTTAATGCGATCAAACATACTGCTGAGTCGAACAATCCGAGACAAAGGATAACCACCAACATGAAAAGATTTAATAATTTTATAGACACATTTGAATTGAAGGAAATCGGGATTGGACAACACAATATACTTGGACTAATTGCCAGGAGAATCCGATGTGCTCAAAGTTGGATAGGTTTCTTGTGTCTTGGGATTGGGATGAACATTAGAGTAACATGGTGGGTAGGACACTACCTAGGGTCGTCTTAGATCACTGGCCGATATGTATCGGACATAGACGAGGTGGGGCCGTCGCCCTTTAGGTTTGAAAACATGTAGTTAACGATCCCGGAGTTTGTGCGAAAGGTTGAGGAGTGGTGGAAGGAGGATAACCCCCAGGCTGTGTGGGAAGGGATTAGATTTCGTAGAAAGCTTCGGAATTTAAAAGTAAAAATCAAGGAATGGAATCTGAACAAATTCGAGAGATTAGAAGAGAGGAAGGCTAGTTTAATAAACAGAATTGAAGAAATAAATAAGGAGGAATCAGGTTCATTGGCTGCAGGGGAAAGAGATGAGAGGTTTAATTTAAGAAAAGAGTTGGAATCCACACTCCTTAGAGAAGAAATGACCTGGAGGTAGAAATCAAGAGTGCATTGGATCAAAGAAGGGGATGGGAACACAAAATACTTTCACATGATTGCGAATGGGAGGAAAAGGAAGAATCTGATTTCTTTGTTAGAAGTGGAGGATCGTACAATAACTAGTCATGATGAGATTGCAAAGGCTTTGGTGGATCATTTTAAATCAATCTTAAGAAGGCCTATCTCAGGAAGATGGAAGCTGGAGGGTTTAGATTGGCCAGTCCTTGAAGGTGCTGTTAGTAGGAGCTTGGAGAGAAATTTTGAATTAGAGGAGGTGAAGGAAGCAATTTTTTATATGAATCGCTCTAAAGCTCCTAGGCCCAATGGATTCACTATGGCTTTCTACCAGGATTGTTGGGAGTGGCTAAAGGATGATTTAATGCGAGTTTCTGAGGAGTTTTATAATAGGGGGAGTGTCAGTAAAGGGGTAAATGCCATTTTTATTGTGTTGGTCCCCAAGAAATCTGGTGCTTGCCATCCTAAGGACTTCAGGCCAATCAGTTTGGTGACAAGTCAATACAAAATACTTGCAAAAGTCCTCTCCCTTCAGTTAAAAAAGGCCCTCCCATCAATCATTTCTCAATTCTAAGGGACTTTTATCCTAGATAAACAAATATCAGATCAAATACTCATTGCCAACGAGTGTGTGGAGGATTTCAAGATAACAGGAAGGAAGGGCATTGTGTGTAAACTGGATCTAGAGAAAGCCCATGACTTGGTGGATTGGGAGTTCTTAATTGAAGCATTGAGGAACTGTGGTTTTGGTGCAAGATGGTGTAAATGGATTAAAGGATGCCTACAATCTTCTCACTTCTCTGTGATGGTAAATGGTGCAGTCAAGGATTTCTTTGGTGCCCTAAGAGGAGTGAGACAAGGGGACCCTTTATCCCCTTTCCTCTTCACCATTTTAGCCGAGGTCTTTAGCAGATTGATTTCGAAGGCAGAGGAGACTGATTTGTTAAAGGGTTGGAAAGTAGGAAGGGAGAGGGTGGTGTTAACTCATCTACAATTCATGGATGACATTATTATTTTTTGTGAGGATGGAGATGAGTTAAGAGCAAGAAACCTGAGAATGCTGGTAAAACTCTTTGAAAAAGTGACAAATTTGAGAGTGAACCTTAATAAGAGTCAGGTGGCAGGGATCAATTTAGCACAAGAAGATGTTAATGTATGGGTTGAGGAGCTAGGTTGCTTAAGAAGTGATTGGCCACTCAAGTATTTAGGCCTCCCCCTTGGTGCAAATTCTAGAAGCGTAGGATTTTGGAATCCAATCGTGGAAAGGTTTGAAAAAAAAACTTGTTGTGTGGAAGAGGAACTATATTTCTTTGGGGGGAAGGATTACTCTTACTAAGTCTACCCTAGCAAACCTACCAATTTACTACCTCTTGGTGTTTAGCATGCTTCAAGCTGTGGGAAAGAAACTAGAGAGAAACTGACAAGATTGTGACTAGTATTCCTGGGCTCTTTGAAAATGGTTGGGATGCTGGAGTGTCTTATAGGGTTTCTAGTGCTTCACCGTGGAAAGTGATTCACAAACTCCTCCCATTGTTCCTCAATCATGTCAGGTTTGATCTCAACTCCAGTAACAAAGTTAAATTTTGGGAAGATGTATGGGTGGGCGATTCTTCTTTAAAGACCTTATTCCCATCAATTTATGCCTTGTCCTGCCTTAAGGGCAAACCGGTTGCTGATTTCCTGTCCCCTTCTCCATCACAATCTGATTTTGCCTGGAATCTGGGTCTCCACAGAAATGTGTGTGACTCGGAGTTGGATTTGGTGTCTTCTATCGTTCAGCTGCTTGACGAGGTTTTTATAGATCCTGCTAAGCAAGGTACTAGAATCTGGATTCCTAACCCTCTTGGAGCTTTCAGTTGTGTGTCCTTCAAAACCTTGACATCTTTTCAACCTAGGGTCCAATTTCCAGTCCAAGAAGTCTGGTGTGGCCCTATTCCCACTAAAGTGGGTGCTTTTTGTTGGGAGGTTTACCATGGTGCAATTAACACCTATGATCTGATGCAGAGGAAGAGGCCTGGTTGGTGTCTATCACCAAATTGGTGCTGTTTGTGTGAATCTAATGGTGAAACTGCTCTTCATTGTTTCCTGTCTTGTAGCTAGTAGCATCTGGGATTGGTTTTTTTCTCTCTTTGGATGCAGGTGGGACACCCCGGTGAGCTTGGCAAGACTGTTTGAAGCCTCCACTTTCAGGTGGCCAAAAATAAGAGGAAAAACTCTGTGGAGATGCACACAGGCAGCAGTACTTTGGATGTTATGGGAGGAAAGAAATCAGAGAATTTTTGAAGGAAAGAAAAGGTGCAAGCAAATACTGATAGAAGGGATTATGTTAAAAGTGACCTCATGGGTAAAACCGATGGACTTATTCTCAGATTTTACTGTGGATGATATTTTCAGAAATTTGAGGACTGTTGCATCCTCGTCATCTGCAAAAAAGAAGGCAGTAAGGAGTTGGGATCCTCCTGAATCTG